GCACGTACAGTACCGCAGCAAGCACGACAAATAAACGCACGAACCTCAGACATTCACGCGCACGCGGAAACGCACCTTCCTCCACCTCCCTCCAACCCCTCCCCCCGCACGTACCTCGCTTCACCTTGTCCTCGGCGCGCTCGTGTCTGCGGGGAGAGATGACGCGCTCGAGAGCGTCCCACTTGTCGTTGAGCAGCTGCAGCCGCCAGCAGATCTGCTCCTTCATCGTCGGCGGGCACGTGGCGGCGAGCCGCTGCGCGTGCCTGTTGAACAGCTTGCGACGATAGGCGCTCTGCTGCAGCTCCTCGATGAACGGCTGCAGAGGTGAAGCCATCGTACATCATTACATCGTACATCATTACATCGTATCGCGGGCGGTTAATGCGCGGGTGCGAGAGCGGCGGTAGGGCAAGAGCTCAGGGGCAGTGGCGGGGGGGAGAGGGTTGGTAGAGGGTGAGGGAAAGAGGGGGATGAGGGAGAGGATGAGGGAGGAAGGGAAGGGGAGGGAGAGGGTTGGTAGAGGGCGAGGGAGGCAGGGGGAGGAAGAGGGAGAGGAAGAGTTTGAGGGCGGGAGGTTTGAGGGAGAGGGTGAGGGAGGAAGGGTGATGACGACGATGATAACGACGATGATGATAATAATGATGATGATGATGACGAAGGAGATCGAAGGAGGAAGGAAGGAGTAAGAAGAAGAAGATGGGGGAGAAGGAGGAAGGGGAGAAGAATGGGGAGTATAACGAAATGGAGAAGGACCGGTTTCCATCAGAATGGTTGTATGAAAGTAGGAACTACTTAGCTTTGGCAGTAACGCGAATGAGTAAACATCGCACATTTTTACACACACCGTTACAGCCGGAACGATCGTGTGTCGAAAAAACTAGCACCTACCACCACGACTTTTGGCATACTTTTAATGAAGCCCCGCTTAATTGTATTTGCATTATGACGCACCCCGCCCCGTTTCGTGTGGATTTAACATGTGTTTATTCAGACGGATCTAGCTGTGCTATACAAATACTGCGCAGAGGGGAGAGCAGGAGGGGGAGATGTTATTCCACACACGCCCAGGGCGGGTCGTGGTGAGCGCAGCATCCTTTCGAGCTGGCTGCTGGTGGCTTCCACGTGTAGATGCACGTACACACATCCCTCTATACAGTGCCGAACACTCCTGACTTCAGTGTACACATATGTATACACGCACCCCACCATCCAATACCACCCAAAATGTAGCTTCAGTGTACACATATATGTATACACACATCTCTCCATCCAGTACCACCCAAATGTAGCTCCAGTGTACACTGCCAGTGTATACTGGGTTCAGGAGAACCCCTCTGCCTGTCCGCGCATGCGTCGCGGCATCACTCACTCTCTACGTATGTGTATAAACACACCCCTCCTTCCAGTACCGCACACTCCTACCCTTTCTCTCACGCGCACCCCTCCGTCTGTCCGTCCGTCCGAGCACCGCGGCATCGCTCACTCACCCCTCTGTCCCTCTATCTGTGTGTCGCGGCATCGCTCACTCACCCCTCTGTCCCTCTATCTGTGTGTCGCAGCATCGCTCACTCACCCCTCTGTCCCTCTATCTGTGTGTCGCGGCATCGCTCACTCACCCCTCTGTCCCTCTATCTATGTGTCGCAGCATCGCTCACTCACCCCTCTGCATAGCGTACGTGTGTGTGTTACGTTCTTATATGCGCGGTCGAATCATGTTTGTCTGCGTGGCGTGCGTACGTATCGTACGTGCGTTTCCGCGTGGCGCGTGCATGTTGAGATTCGTGCGTTTATTTGTGCGTGCTATGCCTGCGGTCTGTACGTGCGTGCGTGGTGTGTGTTGCGCGTATCGTCGTCGTTTCCATGTGAGTCAGCAGGAATGCCTTGGTGACAGGAATGCTTCGCCATCCTCGTGCCTTGCCGCTGTTTCCAACTCAATATAACCAGAGTAAATGCGCGCTTACGCCGCACAAGCACATTGTACGCAAACAACGTCGTTTAAAACATGTCATTAACGGCATCGTGCAATGAAGTGACTTCAACATCAACCGTCTTGTTCCGTGGGGTTAATGAGATAAATTGTACTGTTCGGTATGCGGCCGCGGTGTGGGGAGCGGTGACGCAGCGCAAAGTAAGCGGCTGTGTACGCGCGCATGTCGATGGTTGTTCCATCCCTGTTCTAGAAAGTGTTGATTTGTAAGTTGATGTATGAGTGCGTTCAGTTGATTCGAGTTATCTTGAAGTGTTGATGTATTGTTTATACGCTTTGTTTGCGTGACAACTCGAGGTTTATTGGTTTTATCTGGGCATTTGCAGTAAGGATAGGCGGCATGCCAACAGAGCAATCATGAGCTTCTATTCATGTTACATTAAATAATTATCATTTATAACTACGGTCTCGTAAACTGCAGCTGGCTTTCTCAATCAAGCGTGCAACAAAGTAAAACTCGTTGCGAAGACCAGCGGACTAGAACGTTTAAGATGCAGTAGAAGGAACAATGAGGTTGTAACTTATAATGAGTCGGCAGCGTGCTCTATTTGGTATTCATTTACTACCGGCCTTTCTGTCAAGCTCGCTGTTTATTTGCGGCATGTAGGTCGATTTCGCAGTTGCGCCCGCGAATTATCCGTTATATTCGCTCCACCTTGCGTGGCATTAGTTAATTGTCTTGGATTCCCATATTTTGCTGATGTGCTTACTTCTCAAGTAACATCGATTACATAATTGACAAGCGCACAGAAAGAAATCCATCAACGATTGGTATACACATACTACAATGTGTATTATCGGATTAGCAATGAGAGTCTGTGCAATATATCGTAAAATATAAACATGGATTTTTCACTGTGAACGCCGCTAGTCAAGCAAATTCACGAGGCATAGCTGATATCTATTTAGAAATACCGTGATAGGCTCAGCGTTCGTAATTGAACCCGGTTAATAAGGGCAGTGCTGCATATTTGGCAGATGCAGTGTTTAAACGGTGTGCGCTACTGTGGAGTTGAATCGATAGCAGGCGTCGTAAGGGCGAACCGCATTACTATTGTTGTTAATTTATTGCGGTTTTGGTTCCATATCATCACCTCATATATTCAACAACAAAATGTGTAAGACACATGGAGATTTTACTCCTGAAAGATTCAATTTCGACAGAATTCTTTAGGAACGTCCAGCCTAAGCAGCTAAGGTCATGTTTGTGATTATTATGCTTGGAATACATTACGCATCTTGGAGTCGAAAAGATATAATAACTCATGTAGCAATAATACAAGTGTATGTACTGCTCGCGGAATAACTAAGGTGAGCAAAAGCATAGTGTTTTTGCATATTATAACAAGTGTCTATTACATCCATCTCCACTTTTTAAATATATTCTTTCGTGTTACTTCCGCAGGAAATCTCAGAAGAGAATACGAATCCCAGTCGATAGGTGATTTCGGGTCTCCTGAAGCTCATACGAACATCTGGAGACGGGAAGCGAGCGCGCATCTGGTGCGACCACGCCGTGCTTTCAGATCCGGCCATCTGGACGGCTGCAGCAGGAGTGCCCGGTCTGTGGCTGCACGGCCAGTCTGGAGGGGCAGCCAGTATTACTGAGGAGCCAAATCAGTATACGCAGGGTGAGTAGGAAGTTACGGCATGCAGTCTTCTGCCACTGCTGTGCACTGCTATGCCATTGCTGAACTGAAGATGCGCATCATTACGCCGTAATTATCCGTTCTTAGGTTTTGTCAATTTCTATGATTAATGTAAATAGAGCCTTCATGTAAACTGAGTAAACTCAAGGAACCAGTATTGTTTATAAGCATATCGAACTCTTGGGCCGTACCATTGTTACCCACCTTGTCTCCATATAGTCACGTCCGATGAGTCTGCAGCGTGTCTCATGCATGGTCTCACGTTGATTCTATGTCTCACGCGTGTCCTGGCATAATGTCCCCCCCTTCTACGGATGATCTCAAATGTCTCACGTGTCTTCATCAATGTTCTCACGTGTCGCAAATGATTTCAGCCGTGTCTCGTTATGTTCACGGTGTCCTCAATGTATCACCGTGTCTCATCATGTTTTAACTGATGATCTAAAATTGTGTCTCAATGTTCTCACCGTGTTCATCATAGTTCACAGTGTCTGCAATGTCTCACATGTTCTCTATCATGTCTCAGCTGTGTCTCAATGTGTCTCATACTGTCATGCACTGTGTCCTCAAGGCGTCTCAAATGTCATCGGCCGTGTCTCGGCAGCGAACGATCGGGAGCGGGAGGCGGCAACCTGAAGCGACGTCAGGACTGCGAACGCGGAGGACTTCGCTCGATCGATTCGGCGCCGCCCGGCAGCAAGGCCGGGATGCCTGCTCCACGCCGCCTACCTGCCGGCAGGCCACGCAGGGCGATGGCGGTCGCTATTTTGGAGCGCC